TCTTCGCATTTTTAAAAAATACTGTGTAGGCCACGGGCGCTCCATGACCAATTTTCGGGGGAGGGGGAGGGGGCATTGCCTTTATATATTCCTTTTTTAGCATATATTTTTGAATAAAAGGTTAATAAATCGTAAGAATTCGTTGGGGAGGCATGGTCCCCATAGCCCCCTCTGAAGCCGCCCTTGATATAGGTACCATATATCTAAGGGCATATCTTAGATAAATGCAATTGGTTTACATACCCTTGATAGGAGGTCGGAAGAACGAAATTTTTTAGCAATCCTATATATTGAGTCGTTTTTTCCATTATGTAAAGTAATTAGAAAATTATTTTTGAGAGGGATACTTACCATTTACCATGTCAAAAAGGATTATAAGTAAGTACCTACTGAATATTTCTACGCATATTTATTAGACTACAATTTAGTTCTATATGAGTTAATGTTTTAAGTTTCATGCAAATTTTTAATTTAATTGGTTTGTTTAAATGAGTTAAATTACCTTATATGTGATTCGGGTTGATGCATTTATGTCAAATCCAAAAATATTGTATTCACTGCCACTGCTCAAAGCGAAAATGCTAATTTGGTCCTGTTTTTATTTCGTTTTGTATCCTAGAAGAATTCTAGCATTGACCTAAAAATCTAAAAATAGAACAAATAGGGCTAATCTCTTCTAAGACAGAATGATTTATTAAATAAAGCTATAACCAACAACCCCTGCGTATTATATTCCGTAATCTTGAAGCCTGATAACATTGGATTCCTACTATACATATATTTTTTGGAATTATCATTGATTGTATCTTAAAGCACATAATTTCCTTGAATAAATTTTGACTCAGGGTTTTCTTATAATACAGGCATGGACGTCGTTATATAATTTCCGAGGTGCTTCCAAATAACCTGTACTTAATGGGTCTTTTGACCTTTATAGCCGAGATACAGGGTGTTTTATCAATTTGGCCTATTTCTTTCCAGCCTCATAACTTATTAACCACCCTGTATATGTTTTTGACATTTGGCGTACGTATTCACCGTAACTTACCAAATCTAAAAAGGTATAATCAAGAAACGAAATCCAGGTCCGTCTTTACAAAAAATTAATAAATTCGTCCATCTTTAAAACAACATCCTGTATGTCTGAATTTGAAATTTTTGTTTTCATATTTGAAAAGAGCACAAAAAACTGTATCCAATAATATACATTTTATTTTTGCGCAGACGATTTTACTACTGAAATTATAAGTCCAAATTGTTATTTTTGAGCATTTTGGAGGTACAAACTGAAAACGGACGGAGTTTTATTAATTTTATTACGGTATATTTAAAATTAATTAAAGAAGTATATTTCTAAAAGCTACAGATATGTCAATACTTATAATTGTATGCATCTACAACATTTCAAAAAATAATTTCAGGTCCGGTTTTAGGGCCAAAAATCAGAATTATTTTTTTTTTCGACCGCACCCTGTATAAATTATTCCATGTAAGTTTTAATAAATAGTATATAGGATAATAATATAAAAAGAGAATAACATTCAGTAGAACACATAATAACATTTACAACTAAAGGAAAAACACATAAATAATAACTAATTAATACATAATAAACAAATCAAAATAACAACTAATAATACAAAGAAATACAAATGTTGGAAATGAAGTAATAAACCTTATTGCTACTAAAAACTACAAGAGTTGTTCAAAATGACCTCCATTTTGTTCGATGCATTTTCTTGCTCGTTTTAAAATATGGTTGACGGCTTTTCTGAGTACATCGGGATTACTTTTCATTTCTTCGCACGCGTTTTCTATCCTCCCAACTAGTTCTTCCCTACTATTTATGGGAGTGGAATATACTTTTGTTTTTAGATGTCCCCAAACGTGGTAATCCAGCGGATTAAAGTCAGGCGATCTTGAATGCCAGTGATTGGGAGCACCTCTGCCTATCCACGTATTAGGAAAATTTTTATTCAAAAATTCTCTCACAATTAGCCGGTAATGCGGTGAAGCACCATCATGTTGAAAATATACACCGGCTATATCTACATCTGTATCGTCTAATAGAACAGGCAACATATTTTGAAGAAAATCTAAATAAACTTCGCCAGTCAGTCTGTGAGGGAAAATATGTGGTCCAATTAATTTATTATCGAAAACACCGCACCAAATATTTACTGAAAATTTGTATTGTGAATGGGTCTCTCTTACAGCAAATGGATTTTCTGTCGACCAAATGTGCGAGTTTAGTAAATTGAACACGCCGTCTCTTGTAAACTGGGCCTCATCCGTAAATATGCATCTACGTACAATTCGCCGATTTAAGAGGATTCACCTACTAAAATTAATTCTAGGAATTTCATCGCCTGCTTCTAACCTCTGTACTTCCTGAATATGAGATGGGTGTAAACGATGTTTTTTTAGTCGTCGCCATACGCTGGTATGAGGTACATTAAATGCATAGCTAATTCTCCTTGTCCTCAGTTCTGGATTATTATTAACCATATTTATAATATTTTGTTCCACATTCAAATGCTGCCTTTCACGATGCTCGTTTAATTGAGCTGTTGGGAATCTACCATATCTTCTCATGTAATTAAAAACGCGAATAAAAGTTTTGAAATTTGGTGATCTTCGACCAGGAAATCTCAATATTCCCTTTTTGCAGCTCGAGAATTACCATCACAAAAACCATAAATGTAAATCATATCTGCGTATTCTTCGTTAGTATATTGATATGGCATTTTTAATAATTACCAAATACAATAAAAAATATCACGGAAAACACTGAAAAAACAATAATGACTGACAGAAGATGCAAATACAAATGACATAAAAATGTGAAATGCCAATTCCAAGGCCTATAAGATAATCTAATAATAAAATAATTATACTTATTTATTATTTACGAATGTAACATTAGGTCCTAAATACCTCCTTTCGTATGCTACATACACTGGCCTTCAAGATCGCCTGACTTTAATCTGCTGGATAACCACGTTTGGGGACATCTAAAAACAAAAGTATATTCCACTCCCATAAATAGTAGGGAAGAACTAGTTGGGAGGATAGAAAACGCGTGCGAAGAAATGAAAAAAAATCCCGATGTACTCAGAAAAGCCGTCAACCATATTTTAAAACGAGCAAGAAAATGCATCGAACAAAATGGAGGTCATTTTGAACAACTCTTGTAGTTTTTAGTAGCAATAAGGTTTATTACTTCATTTCCAACATTTGTATTTCTTTGTATTATTAGTTGTTATTTTGATTTGTTTATTATGTATTAATTAGTTATTATTTATGTGTTTTTCCTTTAGTTGTAAATGTTATTATTTGTTCTACTGAATGTTAGTCTCTTTCCATATTATTATCCTACATACTATTTATTAAAACTTACATGGAATAATTTATACAGGGTGCGGTCGAAAAAAAAATAATTATGTTTTTTGGCCCTAAAACCGGACCTGAAATTATTTTTTGAAATGGTGTAGATGCATACAATTATAAGTATTGACATATCTGTAGCTTTTAGAAATATACTTCTTTAAATAATTTTAAATATACCGTAATAAAATTAATAAAACTGCGTCCGTTTCCAGTTTGTACCTCCAAAATGCTTAAAAATAATAATTTGGACTTATAATTTCAGTAGTAAAATCGTCTGCGCAAAAATAAAATGTACATTATTGGATTCAGTTTTTTGTGCTCTTTTCAAATATGAAAACAAAAATTTCAAATTCAGACATACAGGATGTTGTTTTAAGGATGGACGAATTTATTAATTTTTTGTAAAGACGAACCTGGATTTCGTTTCTTGTTTATACCTTTTTAGATTTGGTAAGTTACGGTGAATAAGTACGCCAAATATCAAAAACATATACAGGGTGGTTAATAAGTTATGAGTCTGGAAATAAATAGCCCAAATTGATATCTCGGCTATAAAGGTCGAAAGACTCATTAAGTATGGGTTATTTGGAAGCATCTTGGTGGTCTCCATCCATGGTTAAAGGGAGTCCCTTTATCAATGAAACACCCTGTATGTAAGACAATAAATACTCAACCTAAGCTTATTAACAATACAACCAAAATAGTCTTTTAACTATGTCTACAGCCAAAACAGTGCAATTATTACCAAAATGATCCGTAATTTTTGACCGTCTCTTGAAAAAAATTATAGTTTTTAATTAAACGTATTTGACGGCTCAAATGTAAATAGTAACAATAGTGGAATACATTGAAGTCAAAAAGTTTTTATTGCATCAAAATGAAGCATACTGAAACACAAAGAACACAAAAGTTTGTGCTTTATTCAACAATAAAATTGTAACCCAGAATCAATTTCGAAATCCACTGTAAATATTTAAATAGAGAAAATAAGAAACTAGATGTTTGTACGTATGGGTAATTTGTCATATAAATATGATTTTCAAGGTATTGAAAGACGTTTTTAACAAATAATCATTGCAATGTATTATTTAACGATAATGTTATAGTATGTTTTCTCCTGCCACAAGATACATGTTACATGATATTTCCACAGTAAATGAAATGAGGAAAAATCAAGCTGTTGTACAAAAGTACCTAATATTAACGACTTCTTTAGATACTTGGATCATCTACTTCAGGGATTCCCAAACTACTTTGGGCAAGAGACTCCTTTTCCAAAATTAACTGATAGCTCAGACCCCCTAGCCAAATGAATCGGTCATTTGAGAAACGACACATGTCACATTTTTGGCCATTTTGTGTTTATACCAAAAATACAATATTTAAAGGTAAACACATTTATCCATGCAGTAACATCACTTGCCCGATATATATTTGTAGGACTTCTGCATCACTCTGTGCTCTTTCTAAACGCAATGTACTGGTGCCAATTATTTAAAACCATGGCATCAACTGCCAAAAGTGATTTAGATAGTGTTCCGACTATTTTAATAAATAAAAAAGGAAAAAAAAAGTTATTTAAATGCGCAATGTTCCACAATACAGGATACTGTTTCAATGTTGCGCTGCAACCAGAACTCCTGATAGCCTTGGTTGAACTTCTGCTTAAGCTCCTCGTCTATGCTGATGGTGATCAACTCTTCTTGCATTATCACATTGAATTCTTCCATAGCTGTGATATTGTATGAATTTAGGAATTTGTAAATTTAAGAGATTCTTAAACCTCTTAGTAAAATCCTTGTGTAATGCGTCCAAGTGAGTGACATATGATAAAATAACATCGTCTTGAAGCATTTTTGGTAATTTTGATAAATGCGGAAACTGTAAATATTCTTTTTTGCCTAAATTTTGTTTATAAAGGATAAGTTAACCCACAAAGGCCGATATTATTGATTTTGTTTTAATCAAATTGAGATCGTCACCCTCCAGCTGCAAATTAACTTTGTTAAACATACCAAAGATATCAGTCGATGAATAAATATTTGTTTTGCAATTGTTTAGATTTTCTTTCAAATTCGGATATTTTTGTTATTAATTTTTAATGAGTTGAAGCAGTACCATCCAATAGAGGAATTGAAAAATTGCATTAATTTTAAATTCATAATATTCTGAAAATGTTCATGTTTTTTTATCCCCCCCCCCCCCCCTATCATAAAAACTATAATATGTGATATACCGATCGACGCATCTCGTCGAGCCGGATAATTCTTCGTAATATCTTTTTGCTCTATCTCCTCTTAAGCGAAGTTTTTCCCAGGAAAGCTTCCGACCCAAAATTCCCCCTAATTTTCCTGGTAAATATGTTTAAAGTAGTACAGCGGCCCGCCTTAGCAAGTTCACTTATTGTGTATCGATACCTGCAGTTAGTAGTTGGATAGGTGACCATTTTATTGAAAGTCGGCGTACGCCCGAACAAACTGCTCCCTTTGTCGCATACCGCAGCGGACAAGCGTTATATCAATGTAGTACGAGGTATAGCGTGGGGTATGCCGTCTTTTCGGAAGAGATGTAAAGCCGTCGGTCCCGAATCCATGGATGTTTGGCTCGTTAAAGATCCCTATCTCTGGTTGGAACATCAAGGGATTCGGCTAAATTTTTGGTAATTGAGGGTATCGAGCTCACCAGCGTCGCCATTTAAACCTCGTAGTTAGAAATAGGACGACGTTTAAAAAAAATGTTTGAAGTAGCGGTTAAATTTCGATGCCAGATTGTGAGGAACATCTAGTAGTACATACTTATTTTTGTTTTTTTCGGAAAAGTCGGAAAATTCGGTAAACATTTTTTTTTAATTTTGGACCAATGAAATGGAATATCCAAAAATAGACATTTGCTGGTTTAGCCAGAAAATTGGTGGAAACCCCACTTTACGGTTGTTAAATTTTAAATTTTCTTACACCATTCGGTAGTGGTATTTTAAAAACACATTTACCTTAAATGAAAAAAGCGAAATTTTTCGAGAAATTTATTATCTTCACCTGTTATAAAAACCTTGTCAAGTGATACATAAATCAACGCGTCTCGTTGAGCCGGATCATTATCTTTAAGGTCTTTCTGTTCTATCTCCTCTTCAGGAAAGTTTTTCTTGATTAGCGTTGGATCCAAATATTATCCTAATTTTCCTGGAATATATGTTTGAGACATCGGGAAAATTTTGACGCCAGAGGAACTTCGAGTACTATATATGCGAATTTTTCGTTTTTTTTTTTTGAAAAATTGCTGAAACAAAAACTTTTTTTTTTCAATTTTCTCCGAATGAAAGGAAAATTCCTGAAACGGATAAATCCGCTGTCAAAAAAGAAAGTTGGGTCTATCCGAAAAATTGGTAAAAAAATCACTTTCCCGAAGAAAAATTTAAAATTTTCTGATGTCATTCGACAGAGAATATTTGAATGTTTGTTAAATAGAGATATTCGATGGTGTAGCGATCGCACCGATGTACAGGCTTAACCAGTGTTTAATTTAAAACTAGGATATTGTTGATATCTAAATATACTTTCTACAATATTTACAATTACAATTTTCTCGGAAATGTATTATCTTTTATACAATGGCGGGCACAGCATCCCTTTTTACCACTGGGGACGCATGTTGTGCGCTTGACTGTTGATGAAGCAAGCAGTGAAGTTGATGGACCTGCCGAGCTTGAGGCTTTGACGAAATACCCTTCATCCAATGAGGAGTGGCTGACGCGCATGACGTATTCATCTTTTAGAGAACTTCCTTACCGGCTAAGATAGTACAAGTTACAGGGACGGCTAAAGGGATTAATATTGTTCGGGAATCAGTAATGCTGAATGTACAAATGGGTTCAAATTTCATAACAAACAGACAGACAATACGTATTTAAATTATTTTTATAAAAAAAATTCTTATCTGCAAGACACCCGAATAACTGAACTGCATTAAAATTTTTAATATCAGAACAAATACTGATATATGTTTTCTTTTTAGTTTCAGGGCTTCCTCCAGAAAACAATGCAACGAGTTGTGTTCGGCAACTTCTGAAACCCAAAAGACTCGAAAAAGACAATATTTTTCTTGAATTAGTATTTACTGGGTCTGTTATTGATGACCGGTCACGGGAATTACTTTTGTCTCAGTACCTATCAAAACCAACAGACAGGAAAAGATCCTAGGCAACTACTTCAGAGCTGGTCCAAGCGTTGGATGCAAAATAAAAAACAGATAAATTTGATAATATCGTATATTATACCCATTAATTGAATATTTAGTGAATTTGAATTTTTCGCCATGGAAAACCCCGGTAGAGAAGCGCCTTTGGCAACATTGTCAGGTACGTGGTTTTCAACTTTTCATCTAAATCCAATCCATTGTCATCTCTTGTTATTTTTACACTTTACTCTTTCTCTTTATACATAACTATTTATGCATAAATGTTTATTTTAGGTGTAGCTCCATCCTTAGAATCGTCCCCGAAGAAAAGTGAAGAAATCATCCTGATAGAACCGACTGAAAAGGCTGAAGTCACTTTCAAAACGGACAGCGAGTATTCATCATCATCCTCTTCATCTTCGGCTTCCGATTCCGAAGACGAAGATGAAAAGCCGAAAATTCCAGATGGTGGTTGGGGATGGATAGTAGTACTTTCTTCATTGTTACTTTCTATGATAGCCGACGGGGTTAGTTTCTCCTTTGGTTTGCTCTATGTAGAGTTTTTGGATGAGTTTAAAGCATCCAGTTCCGTTACTTCTTGGATTGGTAGCCTGTTCTTGGCTATTCCTCTTATTTCTGGGCCTATTATGAGTGCTTTAGTAGATAAATATGGTTGTAGATTAATGACTTGCGTAGGTGGGGTTATAGCTGCAATCGGTTTCATTATTAGTTCAAAAGTGAACACAATCGGTATTATGTATCTTACTTTTGGTATACTAGCGGGACTAGGACTAGGTCTTTGTTATGTTACCGCTGTCGTTTCGATTCCTTTTTGGTTTGATAAATACAGGACGTTGGCTGTGGGAATAAGTGCTTCTGGAGCCGGAATAGGAACGTTCGCGTTTGCTCCTTTGACTACTTTTCTTCTATCTGAATTTGGATGGAGAGGAACCACGTTGATCATGGGTGGAGTATTTTTGAATATGTGCGTTTGTGGTGTTATGATGAGAGATCCGGATTGGGTCACCGAGCAACATAAGTAAGTAAAACATTTGTATTTAAAACAGCATTACAGAGATATACGAATATGTGTAAAAGGGTCACAATATATTTTTATTTTTTTAACCTGTTACTTTTTTGGAATATTTGTAGTTTGATTTGTAAAAATAATATTTATTTTTATTTTACCACACGATTTGCATTAATAGTCCCTTATTTGATTGGAAATGAAATATATGATTCTAGACGTCAACAACAATGAACAAATCACTTTTTAAGCATTTTCTATCGTCCGGTTTTGCTACTTCCGATGTAGGGATTTCGGCCACGTGACTGGATATTTACCTTTTTCAACAAAATTCGGGATATAGTTTAAAATATTTTTTTCTCATTCTAAGATGATATTGTAAGCATTTTTTTGTGTCGCCGAAAGGAGTAATATGCAAAAATAAATTAAAACCTTTCGAAAATCGGACCATTAATTTGAAAAGTGATTGATCTCAAAATATTTGTATGATTCTCAACTAACAATATTCTTACAAGAATTTTTATTCAGTAGTTCTATCCTATTCTGCTTTTTACTTACACAATGTTTTCGAAAGCAAATATCACAAGTATTTGAAATTAAAAATTTTAAAAAACCGACTTCAAAAACGTGCAAAAGTCAAAAAAAGTCAAAAAAAAAGTCAAAAAAAGTCAAAAAAAGTAAAAAAAGTCAAAAAAAAGTCAAAAAAAGGTCAAAAAAGTAAAAGAAAGTCAAAAAGTCAAAAAATCAAAGGTCAAAGTCAAAGGTCAAAGTCAAAAAAAGTAAAAAAAAAAAAAAGTCAAAAAAAAGTCAAAAAAAGTCAACAATGTAAAAAAAAATCCAGTCAAGTTGTATTCATTAAGGGTATTCATTAAGGGTGGCGACCAGCCATATCTCAGAATATCTTAAATTATATTTTTTTGAAAGAAACGCAAAAATATGTCTATTTTGATTTCAAGGGGGGACCTTTTTATAATATCCTAATTTGTCATATGTAATTCCTCCCCTACAACAATCTAACCAATACAATTTAAATAGGCAAAGTACCAGGTAACACATCGTCAGAAAGGTAATTTTATGGGGAATTCAGCACTATGACTGTTTATTGCGTTCCTTTTAATTTTAGCACCCTCTAACGTGATAAAAAATTATTATCTATGGTAAAGTGTGACACTTCATTTGAAAGGTAATTTTATGAGTAATTTAATACACTACGTAACATTATGTTAAATAAATCAAAAATGAACTTAAAAGGAAAAAAGAATGCATTACTAAATTTATTTTGTTGCAAGTGCGTTATGGATATATCTAGGCTAATATTGTGTGATGCATTGGATTACTAATAAAATTAGCTTTCAAATTAAGTGTCACACTTTATTATAGGTAATAAATTTTTGTCCTGCTATAGGGCGCTAAAATTAAAAGGAACGCAATGAACAGTCATACTGCTGAATTCTCCATAAAGTTACCTTTCTGACGACGTATCATGCCTGATACATTGTATTGGTTAGATTGACGTAGGGGAGAGGAAGGATATTACAGAAAGGTGTCCCCCTTGAAATAAAAATCGACCTGTTTTTGAGTTTCTTTCAAAAAAAATTCTACTTCACGATATTCTGAAAAACGGCTGGACGCCACCCTCAATGAATCACCCTGTACAATAAAAAAAAAATTCAAAATTAAAACTAAAAAAGGACGGTCTTTGAAATTCGAAAACAGAAAAAATGAGAGAAAATAAATTTATTGGCACCTCTAAATAATATTTATATATTTTGTTAATTATTTTAATATCTGATATACAGTGTGTTCCAAAAGAAACGCATAAAATTAATTAGGATTGTTTTTAAGTTTTTGCAATAAAGGGACAATTTAAAACACCAGAACGAATTAAATTAGATAAATCACAAAATAATATTTTGTTTTTAAAACAGAAAATTTACAATTATTATTAATTGCTGGGTTTGTATTCAAATGGATAGATTTTTTTACCATAAAATACAGGGCGATCCATTTAAAAAATATTATTGACGTCACAGCTCTTTGAAATAAAACAAGAAAAATTTAATATGTCGTATGAAAAAAAAAATGCCGTGTTTTGCATTTTTGCAAAAATTTAATTATGGAAGTTTTATGAATTTTATTTTAATTGCATAAATTTACGCCTTTACTCTAGAGAAATGTTTTATAATTATCATCTTATAATAATTACATTTTAAACTGCACCTTGTAAACTTGTATCACGAAACTAAAAAGCCTTTATCCATGTCTCGAATGTGGTCATTGTTTGTTTTTTTAAACCATAGTAAATTTTTTGAAATGGCTCTTCTACACATTCGTTATTTCTCATACATTTCATTCCATGTTTGGTGGTTCTTCAAAAACAAAAATAATGTAACCCTCTTTTTATCAAAGATACAACAGTATATGTATCTCAAGGATTTACAATATTGTAAATAATTTAATAATAATTGTTTCATTTCCTGTAAAACAAAAGTGAAAAAAGCTGGACCCGTCGAATTTTATTTAAATCAAACTATTTTGTGAGATAAAAGATTCTACCTCAACTTTATTACATATCCCCTTAAATTTTTAAATAACCACATGGGTCTTATGGCACTTCATTTGAAAGGGCTTGAAAATCTAAATTCAAAATAGTATCAAATGCGTTATCAAAATATTGTAAAAATTGTAGAATTTTCCACACTTCTAGACACCTTCGGTAAATCTGGGGTTAAGCAATTTTTTATGATTTTATAGAAAGGCAATTTCGTAATATATTATTTTCAGATCAAATCCAAAACTCTCTAAATCCAGTAAATCCAGTAAAACCAGTTTAGTCTCATTATCTTCAACGAACTTTATTAACAACATCGACATAAACGAATTAAAAGATGTTTTGAAGAGTGGGAAAAATGTCGAGTATCTTTTACAAGGCCTAGAAACATCCATTGACAACAGTCATACGGATAATGTTTTGAAAAATAATCATAATTCGGTACTAAATCTTCCAACGTATGTAAGACAAAATGAAAAAGTAAGTACTTACCTAAGTTAATTGTGCAGAATTCTCATAATGTGATGTCTTGGCGTTTCTTGTCATATCCGTAGATTTAACTGAATCCTTCATTTAACCCCTCAATAGTAATGTGTACGTAGTATATATTTACTACTCCTAGATGAGGAATTTTTAAAGATATTTTAGGCAATAAAAGTGGAAATACTCGTACAACACAGAACAAGTTCTGTTGTTCTAGGAAATACCGTCTTTCCCGAATCCAGCTTTTAAATTATACGCTCTATATTTGTTAGAAATATTCTTCCAACACGTCTCCATTCATCTCTTCCTAATAATCAGTGGTCCTTTTTAGATTCGAATAAAAGTAAACTATCCTCAAGGTAACGTTTTGTACTGCCTATATTAGTAACATAAAGAACTTAAAAAAATGTTTAATATCATATCATTAATTTTAATAGATTTATATAAACCGTTAAGGGGATTCTTACTTTTGAAAATAGGCTTAAATTTTAAGGATTTTTATCAAGGAATTGTAACTGATCTAGTATTCGGATGTTATTTAAAAAAATATATGTTATTTATACAACTGAAACTTAGATTGCTCTTCATTCAAAATTTTCAAAAAATAAATAGAAGACACATTAAAAAAAATTGAAAGTCGGCTTAAACTCGTCCAACTTCAAAAAATTATTACGAGTATATTTTCATAAATATCAAAAAAAAAAACGAAAGAAGAAAGACTTTATTTATATGTTCTTAATATGCTTCTAAAATTTCAATTTATTTGGTGCGTTAGAATTGTCGCAATTCCATTATAAAAATTAATTGTTCTTTTTTGTCATGGAGACGCGGCGGCCAGCAACAAGAAGTGATTCTGGGGATTGGGCGCCATGAGTACACGCGTTTCTGTGTGTCTATAATCTTTTTTGTAGCTCAAAGAACTTTTGAACTTTAAATTACAAAAGGAAAACAAAATCACTTTGATTTTTATACAGTGTGTCCGTAAAGTATGGAACAAATTTATTTTTAGCTAAACAGACCATTTTAAGAAATAATCCTGAAACACGTCGATTTTTGATTTTAATTTACCGTATTTTAAAATAATAATCTAATATACAGGGTGAATTACTTTCGAGTAATGACTCACCGTCATTTTTTTTAAATGGAACATTCCCATTTTGTCTAAATTTTCGGATTACTCTAGCTGAGCTGATTCCAAAAATGTATCACATATTGATTCCAATTGGTACAGGGTGGGCAAAAATACAATAGTTTTGTGTTTGCTCATAAAGTAACGCGTAACATTCTTTATTAGTTAAATTAACAATATCAAAAATACTTATTGTCTAACGGACAGAATATGATGAAATACATGACTTTATAAATGTTCGAAGTGCAGCCCTTGCTGTATTTGACAGTAACCCAAACGGTGTACAAATTCTTGTTGAACCTTGTTTATTGTGTCTTGAGAAATATTGTTTATTGTTGTCCGAATTCTCTCTTTTAATTCTTGAATATTTGCTGGTTTCGTTTGATACACAACATTCTTCAGATGGCCCCACATAAAATAATCCAAAGGATTGAAATCTGGTGACCTCGCTGGCCATTCGATAGGTCCACATCTACCAATCCACCTGTTTGGAAAAATTTCATCTAGGTACCTTCTAACACTACAGCATAATGTGGAGGTGCACCATCCTGTTGAAACGATAAACTTTCATCATAACCTCCAGGATTACGTTTGCTGGGAAACAAATTACGTAAAGTAGGTACGAGATACCCCCTTAAAAACTCAAGGTACGTTGCCCCGTTTAAATTACCTTCGATATAGTAGGGTCCGATGATTCGATTTCTTACAATTCCAGCCCATACATTTACCTTTTGCGGGTATTGTATATGATGCTCACGCATCCAGTGGGGGTTTTCTTTTGCCCAGTATCTACAATTCTGACGGTTAACCTCGCCATTTAACGTGAAAGTGGCCACATCAGAAAAATAATGTTTTGTATCAAGAGAGGGTCTCGGTGACATTTATCCATCATTTTTTCGCAAAATTGGATTCTGTCTCGAAAGGACACGGAACAGAAACAGATTATTTACATAAAACTAGGAAAATATAGCTAAATTTCTCTATTTAGAGTAAATTTCAAATCAGATACATAGTACTTGAAAAAATTATTTGGATTTTTTTTTAATTAATTTGGAAAGTATCGTATTTTTTTTGTTTTTAGACTTAACTAGCAGTCCGAATGACTTTCAGTAAAACAACTGTACCTTTATCCTATATATCGCTTAATACCTACTTTCGGATAGGCAAGTTTGGCTAAACCGTGATATTTTTACATAAGAAAGTTACTAATCTGCTGCTTCTTCATTCTTATGCACCTTGTGTAAATATTTTTTTGAATTTTTTTAAATTAGGTCTAATGAGATTTACAGGGTCCCTGAAGAAGATTTCACTAACAATCTAAGTAGTGGAACTCATTGTGATATACTTAACAAAATAATTCTTAGAATACCTTTAAGGGCCAATTTCATATACAAATTAAAGGAAACTTCAATATTAAAAGGGCACTTTAAATGTTATATCGATTTCATGAAACAAATTTATTGAAAAAGTACCCTTTAAAGCTTCGTTTAACTAAATACCCCATTCTGATCCTTTAGAAGCTTTAAAGCGTGCTTTTTCTAATAACCCTTGAAAGTTTTTCGTTTTGAATGAGAATTTTTTATGACATCGCGCCAGTTGTTTGGTTTAATTTGATGTGAGTTCAGAAACAAATAATATAACTTTATTTTGAAATTGTTGAATTTTGATTTTTACTGTTCAACAGTTGTCGTCACTTGATTTATAGCATTGAAACGTAAAGTCAGTAATTTCCAAGCTCTATTTTGAAAAAGATTTTCATATTTATTATGATAAAAATAGTATTCTAGCTATACCAACCTTTTCAACATTGTTTATTTTATCTGTTTAACTATAAAATATACTGAAACAATTTTGCTTTTAAATAACTAATCTAAACTTTTTTTGTCCAGAGAAACACTTTTTCACGATAGGACACATTGACATATACTATAATTTCGGAAATCCCATACTAAATTTTAAAATGGATTAAAAGCAATCATTTGTAATTACATATAGGTACTCTGAGGTTCGCACTTGCGATAAAAGGGTTCTTACAATTGTTAATAGCATTACCCATAGCATTATCCTGCTTCCTGTGTCCTACATTGCACATATTTAATTCCTAGAATAATTAAATTTCAAAACGTTCAATTTCTTTTTCACCTACTTTGGAAAAACCCAAAGAGCTTACATATAATTAAATATAAAACATTATTGAATCCAAAACATTTTTTAGGAAACTTGAAAATTTTTGTGGTTAATATTCCGGTTAATGTTAGAATTGAAACACAGATCAGCAATACCAACATGGTAAAATTTTGTTAAAGCACGTTTTAGTAAAAGTACTGAAATCCGACAACCGGGGGTTGATAATTAATTTAAATAATTCTTATATATTACATATTATATTCAAATTTTATTTTGAATTCAAACAGCGTCCCAGCGTATTCCGCCTCGAAGGCGCCGTTTTATTACTTCTAGGAAAAAACGTCGACTGTGAGATTATCACGGCCACTAGCTAAAAAACACATGTGCATCAAAAGGGCTATATTCAGGAATTAATACAGGGCTTTATAGTCTTTATACACCAAAGCCACAGTCGGTCTCTCTCTGATACATTTGCTTATATGGGAAATTTAAGTATAAATACCCGGGTTTTTGTGGGCTGGGGGAACTTTAGTTTTTTCTTCTTCGCCGAGTCGAGTTAACAAAAAACGCAAATATCCAGGTTACCGTTACGGTGACTCCTTTTTCTTTATATTCTTCAAATATAATTAAAAAGAGATATCGCTACCCTTACGGTGGCCGCGTTTTTGTTATATTTTGACAACGGAAATAAAAGATATCGACGGAGTAGAGAAATTAGTTTCTATAAACGACGGCTTCTGCATAGATATCCAGTTATCATTAGGATGACCACCTTTTTCTTATATCCTAGATATAAGTAAAAGGAGATATATAGTCAGTTTGACCAAGCAGATACACGTTGAGTAGAAACAGATTTCGCTCCTAGAACTGTTTTGTAAGGTTGTATCTAACGAGCGACTAAAATATAAGCGTAACTAATACTGGTAGTACCTCGCTAGTCTAGTTAAACGCCAGATATTTTGTATCTTCGATTCAACGTTATAAAATGTTACTAAATGATTAAAAGTACTACTCTATAGGCGACGTTCGTAGTGGATTTCGTCACCCTTCTGGCTGACCCGACGAACTTGCGCCAGGAAGACACTTTTATCAGCGGTATACTTTTCTTTCTATAAGGTTTCTTTTACGTAGAATTAAAACGATAATCGCACTATTAAAGTAATCAAACTAGTAATTAATATTCAGATATTCCGGGGGAGAATTTAGACAAACATTAATAGGTTACAGGTATCACTTTATTTACTTTTATATTCATTAGCGGGAACATTCGCGTCTGTGTGTTATTGTCATATTTTTGGTATTCATTGGTAAACGTTTATTGTGGGAAAAATTATAGGGTTTTTATATTGTGCTAAATTATGTTATTTAGAGAATCGATAGTGATGTTGTTGTCATAAATATTAATTGTTCTAAAGTCGGTCAATGCTCTCAAGCAATAAATTAAGTCATTTAGATTTATGACCAAAGGGCCGAATTGTATAGTTTCGGTTATCTGTAAACAGTACCTGCCCCTTTCAGTAAAGATAAAAAGCACTTTCAGTTTTACTTTTAAATGGCAAACTGATGTAGATTAGTAGGGTAAACGCCTTGATTTGTATATATTTTACAGTTAGATTGCGGTTAAATAAATATGTTTTCTGTCGTTCTTTGTAAAACAAAATTGGGTAGACAAATGTGTCATTTTAGCCGTACGGAGTTTGAGTTTTGTGTATCGATTTTTCGGGAAAAAGGAGATATGTAC